AAAAATAAACCATTGTTATTATTAATATTTATTATTATTATTATTGCGCTTTGTTGGTTTCTATGCGCCAGGCCAGGTACAGGCACTGCAGGGAGTACAGTGAGTGCACGCCTTGTTTTTCGGTGTGACAAGACATTGACTTCCGGCCTACACTGAAGGTGGTCAGAATACACCGCGGCGAGGGGCGCTAACGTTGGGATTCGTTGTGTCGTCGAGCATTAGCAGAACAAACTCCTCCAGCGAAGCTCTCCACCCTTCCTCCTTAGCAGATAAAGAGAACTCCGGCCAAAACTCAAGATGAAATAAATTACTGTTATCGCTGTATACGACCCCATCCAAAACATTACGTCCGTGGGACGCCGCATTCTCAACTAATGCCGATAATAAAAATGCGACCCGCCGCGAGCCGCTGCTCCTTAGCGGGCGGCCAGCGGGTTGCCGATCGCTAAAGCAACATTGGGCCGTGACGTCAGTATCGTTCTCTTTTTTTCCTCCGGTCCGGGCGTTGCACGGAGTGCGCTTCTTTGAGCCGCTACCACCGCTACTTCGGCTTGTGATTGGCGTTTTCAGCCGTTGCTTTTATCTGTAGCCTGTGTAGCCTCAGTATAGCCTTTTGTTTATTCGCTTGTGAGGACTCCAAGACTCGTTTTAGTGAGCAAATCAGTGCGCCCAAGACTGCCCAGCTAATCCTCGAAAGATGCCGAGTGCAACTTGTAGCGCTGTGGGCTGCTCAAACAAGCTGCTGCGCAACACGGAGGTGCTTTTTCACAAGTTTCCAACGGACCGGAAATTGGAGAAGGTGTGGGTGAACGCTGTTCGACGAGTGGACTTTAGACTTAGGCATTTACGCGCCCGAGTAAAGAAGAACGAAAAAACAGACGTGTACAGCCCAACACACGTGTGTTCGGGCGCCGCGGCCCGCGCCGGAGAGCCTCAAAGCTTCGTGTCTAGGACTGACAAGCAGCGCGAAATCGAGAGGGCCCCCAGCACTGTACGACACTGGCAGCGCGGTTTAGAGCGACGCCGCTCCATCCACGGAGCCCCGATGACAATTTAGGCCTAGCGACGAGTACGGAAGACCGCACACACGGCGACAGCCGCCGAGTACGGCACCGAACGAGTTCACTCGTTTTCCAGTCGCTAGCTTTTGGGTATACAAGCGACGAGTACGGCATAGCGCACGCACGGCGGTGGCCACCGAGTACGGCACCGTACGAGTTCACGGGTTTTCCAGTCGCTAGCTTTTGGGTATACACACTAACTCTTGCTACACATATGCTGGATAACTAAAAACGTATACAGAATTAAAACAAAATCAGCTTACCTCCTATCTTTAGACGGCTAGCGCAACAGAGGTAGGTGCCGCTCGGCCTGCGTACTCGTTGAACAAGAACGATCCTGACGTCACGGTTCACATAGCGGCTGATTTCCAGTATTGCCGGGGCCTCGAGCGCTAAGTTTCGGTTTTGTTGGCCGCGCCCCAAACAAAACTTTGAGGCGTCGATATCTTTAAAACTACGCACAATAACGAGAAAAAAATTACACCTTGCAATTTAGGGACGCTGACTGCACTAAAAACA